AAGGATGGACACAGAGACATGAGGTACAGCAAAGCGAGACTTTAATTATGGCCTTGCAATGTTCAGGTGTCTGAAGGGAAGGCACATGGAAAAGGGCTGTAGCAAGTAATTTATTCCCTAGTGAACAAGTCCCTGCCCCCACCTCATCATAGGTCAAGAGTACTATGGGGTGCACAGTCTTCCTGGTTGGTGTCTAAGATTACCCCAATTTACTACCCCCTTGTAAGAAGTTTCTTTGTCTGAGGGCTTAGGACAAGCCTGTGAAAAAGGCCTGCTTGAAACCCTGTGAAAAGAGAAACACTAGGGAATGAAGTGAACAGAAAAGGACTAGTAACTCGTTACCATCACAAAGAGAACTTTATCCATTTGAAGTAAACAGTTAAGGGCTGGTAACTCATTACTATCTCAAGGAGAACTTTATCTATTCAGCGACCCCCCAGGAATGGGCTGGACCAGTTAGACAACTTTTGGGCTGGGCCTGAATTATTTCTGAAAATGAATCACTTAGATTATTTTCTTACAGTAATGGGGGAGTGGGTACCTGAGACCTGGAGGAGAGCTGTGTGTGGGTGGCCTGTGGCTGCTGACCCCGAGGTACCCCTGAGTTGGTGTGCGGCTCATGTGGCCCACACTAGAGTGGCAGGAGATACACCCTTTCCGCATGGGGGAGGTGGGACCCTCTGCACTGAGTCTGAGGTTTACTTTTTTCCTCTTCCAGTTGCCAGGAGGCCCGGTGTCCCCAGTAAGGACCTTGAGAAAGGGTGCTGGTGGTGTCTTCCGGGGCAGTGCCCCTTCCTGCTGCTCTGAGGCCAGGCACTTTCTGTCTGCTGTGCGTGAGCCCCACTGAAGTTCACACGCTTCCCAATGTTCACCTTTGGGGCCAGTGACTTCGTGATTGTGCATCGCTCACACCCTATTAGAAATAGGCTTAGGTAAGGTCAGCTGTGGCTGCCACTCTGAGAGTTCACGGTGTCGAAGGGCATTGGCAAGTTCAGCGTTGAGTGGGGGCTGGCAGGTCTGCCTGAGGAGTCTCAAGGCAGGTAGCTATTTCTTGTCAATAAGAGAAGCCAGGAGAGAGAGGGTGGAGGACAGTGAGGGTGCCAGCACTGCTCACCAGATCCCTGAGTGAACTCAGAGTGCAAGCGGGGAGGCTGTCTGTCCTCTTTTGTGTCGATATCTGTGATCCCGACGTGAGTCTTGGGTTGGTGAGGACCATCAAGGCTGTCATGCCTGAAAGGTGAAGCTGGTCATTTAGTGCATGTTGGGGCAGCTGCCTCAAGGCTGGGGCATATGGATGGAAGCCTTTCCCATTGGTGCAAGAGTTAGACTCTTGCTGATGTAGACCGTGGAAGGATGGCCCCTGCATTGCACATGTGCTGTGTTGGCAGTGCTGGGGGCTGGAGACAAGCAGTGCGTTCTTGCACAGCTGGACTGAGAGCTGTGTGGGGTCAGGGAACGAGATTGGGTTAGGAGAGAGAAGGCTCCTGTGAACCGGGGTGAACTATCACTGTGGCGTCTGCTTATCTGTATAGTGGAGGCTCAAGGGTTCTCTCTTCCTGACCACCCTGGTCGTGGAGGAAGCTGTGCAATGCTGGAACCACCTTTTCATCTGAGAAGCATTAACAGCTGGAAGAAGAGACTTGGCAGTTTCCGTGCCTTCCTTGTCTGGGCACCCTCCCTCACTGGACAGCTCTTGCTCACCCTTCAGGACGTGGCCACTCCTGACCCTGTGCTGCTGCTGCTCATGGCCCCACGCCCTCTCCTGATGTTCCTACTGAGCTGGGAGACCACGACCTCCTCACTTTTGTCTTTCTATTCCCAAAGCCTAACTTCTTAAATTCATTTTGTTTTTTTGAATATGTGACATGTTTTAACCTGTTATATTCATCATGACATTGTACCACTAAATACTTAAAAATACATCTTTCCAAAAATAAGGGCATTTTTCTGACATAGCTAAAAGAGTAATGTCATACTTAACAATTTTAGTAATGATTTTTGAACACCTTTTTTTTTTTTTTTTTTCCTTTTTGTCTTTTTTCGTGACCGGTAACGGGATCGCAACCCTCAGTGTCGCGCCCGCACCGCGCTCAGCCAGTGAACGGACCGGTCTTTATATGGGATCCGAACCCTCGGTGGGAGCGCCGCACTCAATCGAGTGCACCACCGGGCTGGCCCTTGAACACCTTTTAACACCCATTCTGTGTTCAGATCTCCCCACTTATTCCCAAATGTCCTTTGTAGATGGTTTATCCAAAACAGGGTCCTTCTTAAGTCTCTTCTAATCTAAAACAGTCTTGTTTTCCATGGCACAGGTTTGTGGATGAGACTTAGTGTCTGGCTTTTTATAGGAGTCCAGTAGCTGCTTGTTCAGTGAAGACCTAGTGTATTGGTCCGTTTCTGTTGCTTTTAACAAAATACCTGCAACTGGGTGACTTATAAGAAAATGGAATTTATTGCTTATGGTTTCAGAGGTTGGAAAGTCCAAAGTCCACAGAACACATCTGGTGAGGGTCTTCTTGGTGGTGGCGGCTTTATAGAAATGCAGGGATCTCACATGGCAGAAAATGGTGGAGCAAAGAGACTCTCACGTGCTCTCCTTTTAAAGCCCTCCGAACCATGCCCTGGGCCACCACTGTTAATCCATCCACTACGGCATGGTCCTACAATCTAATCACCTCCCCAGAGCCCCACTATTCAGTCTTCACAGTAGGATTTCCCACCTTCTCAACACTTACAGTGGGGGCAAAGTTTCCAATACCTGGAATTTGGGGGGACACAGTTTAAGCTTCAGAGAGTTTGCAGGGGACATTCAATCCGCAGCACCCAGTAACAAGAATGTGGACAAGATACTGAAGACTTTTTTTCTGCTTTGTGTCAGGGGAGAGATTTTCTTTTCATTAGGGTTAAGTGTTAGTGATGCTCAGAGATCTGTCAGAAATGGTGCTCTTGGTCATCACTGGTACCATTGTCTTGTGGATCTAGCCCTTGATCCTGTGCTGGTTGGCTCCAGCTAGTCCTCCCCAGAGTGTGTCAAAGTCCTCCTTACCCTGCAGCTTGTCCCTGTGGTTGAGATTCTCTCTGACACTCTTGTGGCCACTGACAATTTCTCTGTTTATTTTATGCCCAGATTGTATCATATGTGGTCTGTATATTTCATGTAAGGCAAGATATTTTTCCTAAGTAATGCCAGCTGCAATTCAGGTTCTTAAGGAGCACTTTCTGCAAAGCCGTGCAAAAGACGTGGAGTCTAACAGATGTACTTTTTTATTAATGGGATTAACAGTCAGGAATACCAATCTTAGTGACTCAGAGTAGAGTGAAAAGTCATTTTACTTTTGGGCTTCGTTTTCATCTCTAAAATGAGAGGGTTGAAATGTATGTAACACGATTGTTCTGTATGTCTATTCAGTGCAGTTGAGGACCTTTTTTTTTTTTTATTTCTTCTCTCCTTAGTGGTTGTTTTGTATTAAAAAAAAAAAAAAAAAGTTTTCCTCTGCAGGACCGTCATCAGGTAGGTCAGTTTTGACAGGAGATTTTGGGGCTTGGAAAGGCAGGTTCAGAGCGTCCTTTCCTGTTTGGAAGATGTGAGGCATTTGTGGGTTGCTGCCTCCTGTCATGGTGGTGTCCCCATAGTACCTGTTTGTCCCCTCATCCCCACCATGAGAGTGAGTCGCTGAGGCTCAGAGGCTTCACGAGGCCTTACCTGTCTTTTTTCAAGAGACACTAGAAACTTTTTAGGCAGTATTTTTTTTTTTTGTCCTTTTCGAGACTGGCCGCACCGCGCTCAGCCAGTGAGCGCTGTGAGCACACCGGTCATCCCTGTATAGGATCTGAACCCGCGGCGGGAGTGCTGCTGCGCTCCCAGTGCTGCACTCTCCCGAGTGTGCCACAGGCTCGGCCCTAGGCAGTATTTTTGAATTCTGGGTCTCTTTTATCCCTGGTTTCTATATGGTTCGGTGTTTGTTGTATTTCATTGTGTAGTATTGCTTCTGTTGAAAGTTAAATATTAAAAATAAACAATAATTTAATATTATGGGCTTTTTGGTGGAAAACTGGTAGGGTAATTATATTTTGGGAGTATTGGGTTATTCTGCTTAATGTAGAATAATTTGATTCACTTACACATAAACTAGGGTGAGTTTTTGTAATACTCCTTCCAGATGGATAGATTCTAGAAGGTATTGGGTGGTGAGTGATCCTTCCTCCCATGTGTCTATGAGCCACATTCTCCCCCAGCACGGGTTTGTATGGGAGTGTGTACCTGCTGGCTTTGTGACAAGGTGACAAGGTGGTTGTGTACCTGCTGACTGTGTGAGCCTGCCACCAGACAGGGTTTGTAATGACCTTCCTTTGCTCCCCAGAGAGGTGCTTTTCACCCTTGGCTGCACACTGGAATCACTTAGAGAGTGATAAAATTTTGGTTTCTGGGTCCCTCCCTTAAAGATTCTAATTTAATTGGTCTGGAAGGTGTCTTGAGTATCTTGCTCTTCCAGCGTGCCCAGGAGATCCTGATGTGCAGCTTGTATTGAGAACCACTGCTCCAGAAGCTGCCTGAAGAAAGGCCCAGGACAGTGGCTGCTGCTTCCTTCCCTCCTGGGTGTGCCTTGCTCTTGCCAGGGCTGTGACCGTGCTGTTCTGTGTGCAGCTCAGGCGGGAGGGGCTGGAGGGTGGCGTGCGTCCTGTTGAAGGCTGTCTGTTCATCTCGTCTTAAGCACCTAGCGGCCTGAGGGAAACACTGAGTGTGTGTTAAATTTCCTGGTAATTCTTAAATACACACATTAATTTTTTGCAGTGATATTTCTATAAAATATCTAACGAGACCTTCCTCTTACTTTCATAGTACCGTCATCCTCTGTACTAAGACTCTTCTGTTTTTGCTTTTTGTTGAGTAGATTCCTATTTCAGGAAGTCGTCTGTTATCTTTCTCTAGAGCAGTGCTTCAGTCACAGCGCTTTGTTGGCCTGGGACGTGCATTCTTCCTAACTGGCAAGCAGTTGTCTGTTCATTGTTCAGTTTCCTGCTGAGAAGTGGGGGTGTGTTCACTTCAGTCCTGACGTCATGGTGAAGCCCATTGGTGGGCAGTTTCAGCCAATCACATGCTTCCTGGTATCCAAGTAAGAAAGATGTATAGTTCTGGAATAACAGGAAGCTTCACGTTTTTAGCATCCTGTTGTTCTGGGTTTTGTGACTTGCTGCCTCGCCACAATGAAGGTTAGTAAAATTTGTATATGTATTTCTTTTTGTAGAATACCGTGGCTTGAATTTTCCAAGCTCTGGAATTAGATGTTTAGAGTTGTGAGACATTAATATCACCTACTTAAACATTTTATAAGGGAACTTTGTATTTTGCATGTAAAGAAACTGAGGCCTGTTAAGCTTAACTCTTAACCTTAATAAATGCAACTTAACTCATATTTGTCATTTAAAAATGTAGATGGATAGGGCAGCCTAGATGAGACTCTCATTTGAGTTGGAATTTCTTCTTAAATAAAACATTACAGTGGATTAATTAAATTCTGTATTATAAGGTGATTTTAAAGACTATTCTAAGGAGTATTTTTATAGGAAGGATCTGGCTTCATGAAATCAATTATATTTTGCACTTCGTCCATATTAGAAATGATGTTAACAAACATACGAGGGTCTTCAAAAAGTTCATAGGACAGTTTGTATTATCTCTTAATTCCATTTTTCATGAACCTTTTGAAGTACCCTCATATATAGATGTATTTACATTGTTCCTTTTTTAATGGTTCCATTTAATTTTTTCTTGTGAGTTTTTAAGGTTTTAAGGAGTGAGCTGGGGTTTTCAACCCCTTTCTTGACTCATAGTGGTTTGATGGCTTTCCCTCTCGAGGTAGTTTTTCAACTTTTAGATTTTCTTTTTTTATTTATGTTTATTTATAATAAATAAAATTTATTTTGACTCATGATTACCTTAACTCATTCTTTTAAAAACTATAGACAAAAGACTATTAGCTGGAGGTGATATTTGAATAAGACAGCAATACTTATTCAAATTTGCAATCTTTTTCTTAGCTTCTTTTGATGTGAACTGCACTCCTTTAGTCACATTTAGGTCCTGCGGATGGGTGGCCAGATGGGTTGGTGCATTTATCCGTTCAGCACACATGCAGCTTTCACTGTGTGCCAGCTGTTTTCCTAGGTGTTGGGAGACATACAGTGTGTTCTAGTAGATTTTACAGTCTAGGTGGGGCACAGGCAGCGACCATAAAGTTATTGTTGTGATAAATGTTCTGGAGGAGCCTGGCTGGGGACCTAGCTGAGCAAGGCTGTCCAGGCAGAGCCCTGTCAGGAAGTCAGATGAGTAAGAGTTGGCCAGGAAAGGGGTTGGGGGTGGGAGGCAGGAAGAGGAAGAGCGGGAAGTTCCTGGCAGGGTCTGCAAGGAGGCCTGGTGAGAGGGAGGGACCGCCCAGCAGAGAGGGTGGCAGAGCTCCAGATGAGGGCAGAGGTGACAGACGAACCTGGAGAGGAGGTGGGACCATCATCTGCTGATACGCGTTCCTGGGACGATTTTGGTTTTTGGCTCAGTGAAATAATGTTAACATGATACACGTTTTGGAAACTAAATATGCCTTTTTGTTATTTGCACCTCTGAAAGAAATATTTTTATAATTTTTCTGGGACAGAGTTGTGGATGATTAGATGATTGAGATCATTTTCATGTGAGGTGATCCAAAGCTCTATGTAGTCTGTGGACGCTATTTGGGATGAGAGCTGTGTTTGAACACGTCTGCATGCGTGCGTATGCACACCATTGTTGACTCCAGCCGTAATGTACCTAGGCCAGCTGATGTGGTTACCGTTTACAGCTCCTCAGGGGGTGGTGTGAAGTCCCCGTTAGTACGATGAGACTGCCTCTGTTGTACCAGGCTCTAGACAGCCCTGGACTGGAGTAAATGTGGTTGCACGTAGACCGTCTGGTCCTGACCTCAGAGCTCTGCCTTGAGAGTGGAGGGTCCCCTGTGCCTCACTGCTCCTCTTCTGGGATCCGCTTCTCCTGCCTTTCTTCCTTTAAGTCTCATATCCAGTGTGCTCTTTTGCTGCTGTTAGCTTTGGAGTTGACTGTCATCTTAGTGCCTTTTCAGTGGCTAGGAAGGAACATCTGTTGTGTGCCTTGCCCAACGCCTCTGCCTCAATCTAAGGAGAGAAGGCTGGCGGGGCCACCGCTGAGCATCTGCTGAGTGCCAGCAGCCAGTGCCAGGGGTCTCTACTCTGTGCAAGAGCTCATGCCTCGGGGTATAAAGGTGGGGTGGAGCAGGGGTGGGGTGTTGGTGGGTAGGACACTGGTCTAAGGCCAAGGGCTTAAACTGCTCCTGAATAAGGGAATTCTTCCCCCAGGCCCTGCCTGAAGCTGGGCTCACTGGCCTTGCTCTGGCAGGTAGAGCCTCCTCTTTGTGGTTTCAGGTTGAGAATTCTGCACGTGTGCACCCTGTTGTCGCTGGGAGAACTGGATTTATCCTGCACCCAACGAAAGACTGCTAACTTGTTTAATTTTTTCTTTCAGACATTTGATGCAAATGATTTGTATCAGGGGCAGAATTTTAACAAGGTCCTCAGTTCCTTAGTGACTCTAAATAAAGTAACAGCAGGTAAGACTCCTTTTTTTTTTTTTTTTAACTTGAGTGGGGGTAAGACAAGAGGGAGGAAACTTGGTTTTCTGTTAGCAAGGCAAAGTGAGCACTTTGAATTTGAAATATAAGCTTTCGTTGCATTTTGGTTTTGATTGTTCCTTTTGCTGTGATTTTTTTTTTTTCCCTTATTAGAACAGAAGTTTCCTCTTCAAGTCCTCTGGTAGATATGAGGTGTTTTCCTTTCTGTGGTGGAGAGACTTCCTACTGAAGCTATAGCAGAGGAAAAGTGACTTGTTCGCCTGGGAAGGTGCATAGGCTGTCTTGAAGCTAGATGCACCTTTCTCTAGGTTTTTATTGAGCTTATGCTGATTAAACCTCATATCTAATGAGCAGTATGTTTTTGAGCTGTGACCATGACAAAGGAGGGGCCAGTGGATTGGCCTCCAGAGTAAACACCTGTCTGTCCAGGTCTCCTGAGGGCGGCCAGGCACCAAAGTACTTTGTTTGCATGGTCTGAGCCTGGTTGTTCCTGAAATGGAGAAGGGGGTATATGGAGGTGGGGACACGGCATGCCCCTCTTCTGGGCTCTCAGATCACAGCCAGGGCAGGCGCTGTTCTGTATGAGGTTCTGAGGAAGGCATGTGAGCCGTGAAGTTCCCTGAGGGCAGGCCCACGCCATCCAGTGAGCCCTGAAGAGTTCTGTCTTGGATCACTCTGTGGCTCAAAAAAGAAGGAACTTTAGCGGCTCTTTTGTTTTCAAGTTAGTTTTTTTCTATTTACCTTTACAGACTTTTAAGTTTCAGATTTGTGGGGGGAAGTTGAGATGTCTCTTTCAAACAGAAACATCTTAAGTTTCTTCGTCAGGGTCTCTTCTCTGTTGGGTCTGGCCCTTCTGCCACGTGCATTTACCTCGGTGCGTTTGGACGGAAGGTTGGGCAGGGAGTCCTCCTCTGTGGCACAGACTGGCCTCAGTGCCACCTCTCAGCACACGCTGCTGTGACTGCTGCCGGAGCTGCCTGGCTGCTGTGCCCTGGCCAGAAGCTGTGGCCCCACCACTGGGAGCAGGGCTGAGACCTCACACAGATGTTTGAATGCGGCTGCGTTTTCATAGCTTGGCTTAGAGTTTAAGATTGCAAACCTCTTAGGGCCATTCAGCTGAAAGCATCTAGGAAATAAATATTTTAAGGGCAGTAAAACAAAAATGGATATAAATAATTGAAATTGGCGCATCATTTAATGATGTTTTGCAAATGAGCGTTTGTAGCGTTTTATAAAGGTAATTAATTAGACATTGAAGTTGCCTTCTTTATTCCTACATTGTAAAAATGATAACTTTAACATGAACCAAGAGAAATAAGGAAGAAAATGAGTTACGTGGAGTTATGGGTGACGTAGAGAGGAAAATATATTTAGGATTGATTACGCTAGGATGTAATGCAGAAGTACTGTATGAGATCATGCACGAGGTGTGGCGGCCGCATGTTCCCTAACCACGTGGGGCGTCTGCCTGCGAATTGCTTGCATGTCCATTTATGCCTCCAAGTGTTGGATGATGGGTCTTATAGTTAACCCAGATCTCTGTGGCAGACAGGGATAAGAAAGGATAGCACAGATAGGTGAAATGTACAAGTAATCCTTAATTTGACTCCTCTGTTCCCATGGAATACTTCTCTGAAAGCTGACCACAGGGAGAAAAGATAACTTTGGATTTCACCGGAGACACTTCCTCTGCTTACGTTTTAAGTGGAGATGCTAAATAGTAAAAGCAGTGGTCAAAAGAACAGAGTAGGAAGAAGGGGTGCAGAGGCTTCAGTCCATACACTTGGTCTTGTGGTTGTCACTAGTCCAGGTTTGAAGGGCTGTGATTTACAGAAGAGACCGGGGGTCACATATCTCTTGGGCACATCGCCATCGTTTTTTATCCTCACCTTATGCAAAAGCATTCCTCATATGGTCTTGATAGCATGGGATATGTGTTGGCTGTAAGATAAGTAGCGTTGTTCTTTACAAGGAGTATCTGGAAGTTATGAGTAAAACTTGGTGCTTTTCAGCTTTTACAGAATAGGGGTGACCCCTCTCATATGAAAAAGTTTTTATGCTTTTCTGTTTGTTGGTTGTTTGCTCTTTGTTTTTGAAGTCGGTGTGATGGAAATTTTGGTATCTTTTTAGGTTTCAACTTTGAATGATTGACTAACAGTTGCAGCTGCTGCTTCCAGGGTTGCCGCAGGCATTTTTGGAAAAATTCTGTCAGTTAAGGAAAACCATGTGTGTTCTTAAGGCATTTAGATGCATATTTGCCTTTTAACTGGACAGAAGGATTGGTGATGGGAAAGCGATGGATGTCCTTAGATGCCTTCATTATACTGAGATTTCTCTTGCAGGTCAGGGGCGGTGGTGGTGGCCCTTGTGGGCATAGTCTGCAGGAAATGCCCTATATCACTGGTTTTGTGTTTGGTGTTGCACAAGGCTCTGTTGTTCTCAAGTAAAAAATGTGCTGTGCAGATTCTGTGGAGATCATTCCGAGCCCTGGTGCAGCCCCTGCCCAGCTCTGAGCCCAGCTGTACCAGGAGGGAGCGTAACCCCCTGGTGTTACCATACCTGAATTACGCCAAGAAGAGCTAGAAATCTGGGTTCTTCTGTGATAGCTTCAGACTTATAAATGTTGACAGCTAGTTCAAAATTGTGTAAGACACTCTGTGGACCAATCCAGACAGATCTGCCAAAAAAACCAAAAACAAAACCAGGACCTGGAGACCATCACTTTAAGAAGGCTTTTATAGAAGCCTCCCTGGGCAGCCTTAGGACTTGGCAAGGTTACCTGGATCTCGAACAGTGATTTCCCTAGAAGACTTTTGCACAGTCTCGGCTTTTTTTGTTGTTTTATTTATTTTTTTTTAATCCAATCACCTCTAAGAAATGGGTTGTTAACATTTACTTGTTGGTTGGCCTGAGTGGAGTGTCTGATCATGAAGGGAATCCAGAAAGTAGAACTAAGTCCTTCAGTGTCCGTTTACTTTGATCCTCTCCACACTTCACGTTGAGCATGTGCTGCCCTCGAATTGAGGAAACAATCCTCAGAAGGTGTTCTCTGTCCAAAAAATACACGAGCATCCTCTGCTGTTCGGATAAGTCTTTTCTTTGAGTTGCATAGTCCCTCTTGTTGCTTCCTGGCACGCCGCACACTCATGGAGCCGTGGGTGCACAGGTGTGGGGCGCTGAGAACTGGGCCTTGGTTGTTCTCATATTAAGAATGGTTATGAAGCATTTCACAAATTTTTGAAAAATTGTACCAGAGAGGAACCGATAAGTAGTGATCTCCAGATAATTTCTGGAAAGGTAATTGGGAACGAATGCAAGTCATTTACGTAGTGGATGCAGAATTTGTTCTTTGTTAGCTGCATAAATGGTCTGCTTTGTTGTAGTCTGTGGTGCGTCCATCGTGCTGCCCTAGTTTTAAAGTCCGGTGTGGACAAGGGTGTGTGGTATCAGGCACTAAAGCTCCCTCTCTTTCTGTGTGCATGGCCTTTTCAGACATTGGACTGGGAAGTGACTCCGTGTGTGCTCGGCCTTCATCTCATCGAATAAAGTCTTTTGATTCCCTTGGATCCCAGTCTTCACACAGTCGGACTTCAAAACTGTTCCAGGGCCAGTATCGAAGTTTGGTAAGTTTGAGAGATTTTGTTAATTTGTGTATGATTGGGGGATTCGAGTGTGTATGTATGTGTCTGGAAAGATAGATACACATGCCTCTGTTAACAGTGGCAGATGGCTTGCCTTTGCCTCCATCATTCCTGCATCCAGACACTATGCTAGTGCGTGCCTTTGAAAAACTAGTTTAATCTGGTATGCACAAACGTACAAATATGAGAATAAGAAATATGTATATGAAAGTACTTAGCTGTTCAAAGAAGAGATGGTTGGAATGAAAGAATCTAAAGGTGGCTATTTTCTCTTCATAAAAGCATGACTTAGAGTGCTTTACTAAGTTAAGATGCAGTTTACAAAGGAGAGAATCCCTTATAATGGGGTGTTCATGGTGTGGGGAAAGGAACTTACAGTGATCCTGGAAGGTGAAGAAGGATCTGTGTATGGATGCTCAGGGTACAGGAGGCAACGGCAGAGCTGGACATGAGAGGCTAGGGAAAGCTTAAATACCGGACTGAATGCGAGGGTTGGAGAGGAGGCAGAGGCTCTGGCTGCTGGTGCGCAGGCACGTGCCCTCTTTAGAGCTGATGGATGGTGGCAGTATTTTGATTAGCTGATAGAGACATGACTTCTCTTTCATGCCACATTTAGAAAGTTATTTTATGTTAAGAAAACATAAAATGACCTTAAAATGTGAGGCTTAAGAACACCTGATTCTTCTAGAGTCTTTAAGGAACCATGGCTTTCTCTCTGCTTGAACACATGGAAGAATATTGCTAAGTAAGCTAATAGTAATCCTCAAGAAATAAAAGTTAACTTATGTAGAGCTGTATGGGTATACTTCACAAAGTTCAAAGAAAGACTCATAGTATCTTTTAAATCTATTTTTTCACAAACTTTTTGGAGTACTCCTGTATTTTGCAGAGGGAAATAAATTTGAGCATAATTTACAAGGCAGTGTTAAAATCTGAAAGACATAGGAGGAGTGTAATTTTCATGCATTCTTGAGATCTTTGAACTCCCGCTGACTCCCTCTGCTGTCCTCTTGGAGGAGACTTGCTGTATTGGGTCTGGTTCTGTGTGCAGTGCCCCCATGCTGGGGTCTGCTTGTGCCAGGCCCTGTTCTCAGCACTTTGCACCTTGCTCCACAGTCCTCGAAGTGGCCTTGTGGGTCTAGGTACTGCCATTCTCTCTGCTTCAAGACATTGAGTGCTGGAGGAACTTGTAGAGTACCACTGGGAACATTATGATTCCAAATTAAGGAGAAATATACAAACCACTTTAAACATATTTTCATTTAGCTCTGTAAAATACATGAGAAAAAAATAAGAGAAATCAGCATGCTTTGGGTAAAGAAATATTTGATGTCTTACCCATTCAACCATGGCAATTTTCATCTGATTTTTTTCTTTTTTCTGTTTGAGTAAAGGATGACTCGATTGAAAATGTATAATTTCAAGTAAAATAAAGTTAAATGTAATGTTGATAATGAAAGTTCCTGAGATCGTAATAATTTTAGGATTAATTTTTCATTAGCTAGACAAATACTAAGTTTACTAGAAATGAAGACTTAAGCTGTCCTACTTATGTCTGTTTGTGGTTGTGATTGGTATTTGGTGGGCTGCTGGTGGGATGGTATTTGGTGGGATGACTTCTCTTTCATGGGACACGGCAGGGCATCTCTTACTGTTGCTTTGCTTTACACAGATTTGTAACCTCTATTCCCCGGGTGATGGAACTGCAAAAAGGATTACTCAAAGCCCATTTCTTCCGAGCAGTGAGAGACCCTGAAGGGGTTAATCTCTCAGAACCCTCAAGAGAGAGGCATTCCTTCCTTGGGAAATTAACCATGAATTGGGGTTCTCACCCTGCATTTATCCTCCAGACCAGGAAGTTACAGGAAAAGAACATAGGTGGGGTTATGGCCAATTATAGTTTAACACTAAAGGCTGGTAACATCAGTGGAACAAGCAAAGTGACATTCCATAATGCAGTTTGCAAAAGGCTAAGCCAATCCACCAACAAAAGCTTGATTTTAGCAAACACTGTTTTTCCCTACAGCAATTTCCCCAACATTTTTACATATCAATCAAGTAACCTGTCTGTCCTTGAGCCAGCAACCTTGCTGTGTTACAATTCTATATCTTACAACAGAGATTTTAGCCTGGGGAAAGTTTCCTGTCTTTTGCAAGGTTAACATTTCTATATGTAATCTCAAAAGGTTAGGCTAAACCTGAGACCACAGGGCTTTGGAGGCCTGTGAAATACATTTGCTTTATAGTACACGCCACATCTTACTATGCTAGGAGAGTGACTGTTTCTTTGCTTAGACTTTTCTGTATGTAGTTTATGAATAGCGCTTTGATGTAATTTTCTTGGGTTAAAAATAATTTAATGCTGAGTGATGGGCACAAGGAGGCCCACCTATCTATTCTCTACTCCTGCAAGTGTTTGAAAGTTCCCGTAATAAAAAGTTAATCTTCTTGAACAGCAGTTTTGTGGTCTCATTAACAGTGAAGCTTAGCTTGAAGTTGTGTGGAGCACCCCCATGCCCAGAGAAGAGCTGTCCTTTAAGGGCGCTGCCTTAAACCCTGTGCTCGCATCTCTTTCAGTTTGAGAAAGTCTCACCTGACCACCCTCTCTGTTGCTGGTGGTTCTCATACTCTTGTGTTTAACATGCAGAGCTTTCGTTTCTCTGCTCAAGGATAGATGTCTTGTGTGGCATACAGGCAGATTTGGACAGTTTTGGTGTTTTGTTCTGTTTTGTTTGTGCAGAAAGTCAGTTTTTAACTTGGGTGCTACTTCATTGTTCCCGACTGTTCCTTTCTTTGGGTGATTTATTTCTACTGCTTTTCCGATACTCTGAGCTGAATTGAGCTCTTTATCCAGCTCTGTTCTGTGATGTGCCTCCTACCCACCCACAGAAGGAGAAGCTCCATAATTAAATTAAGAGTGTGGCAGGCCCAGGCTGTAGACTTGGGTGTGTGTTTTCTTGTGTGTGAGGTTCAACATCACACGTTTTTATTTGTGAGAACTTCTGGTGATGCTCCTGAAATTTCTTGTGTTGCTGCTGTGCTCTGAGTCTCTATCTGCTGTGACTGCTCGTTAGTATGACTTCAAACTCCTGACGCACTCCTCAAAGTTTGGGGACAGCGTTTGCAACTGAGGTTGTTGCTTCTGTCAACCTTCATTTCTGGAAGAAATGACTTGAGCTCCTAAAGCATTTCCTTTCCCTGTGGCCTCCCACTGCCTCTTGGAATCGGGGATCCCAGCCCTCTTTTGGTATTGTCATGACACTGTCAAGTAATCTTACTTTGGTATCCATCACTGAGTTCACAAGCATATGTCTAAGGCATGCAGGAAACTATGTATTACATATGCTTTGTTAAATCTTCTCAACTCCCTGTACAACAAACGTGGAAAACATTGTGCTTCTTTAATATACCATATTTTATCAATTCTGGGTCCTTTTTCTTCTTAAATGTTTTAACACAACTGAAAGTAGCACATGTCTTGAAGGTATACCATAATTTAATTGATGGTATATGGTGTAATATAATATAACAGGCATTGTCTAATGTTTGGCATCTTACATTGCATGACGTACATTATGAGGACATTGAAGCCTGGCGAAGGTGGATATCCACACAGGATCACAGAACTGGGAGATAGTTACTGTTGGAGAAGGAATTGGGTCTTTGACTCCTCAACAAGCTTTTATTCTACTGTACATGAAGTTATGCATGAAATGTATATGAAATTACATGAAATTATAGCTACTTTTAGGGAATGGAGGAGAGGGCGGGATTTGTGTGAATACAACACTCCAGGATGTCCTGGTTTCGGATTATTAGGATAATTTCCGAATTCTGGATAAAATAAAGTACTTGATGAAGTTGAATGTGCACGATATTGGAGGGGGGAGGGCTACTTTGACTGTTATCAGTGTGGACTCCTACCGTGGAGGAAGGGTTAGGACTCTTTCTGCCTCTGCCCTGTACCTGCACAAGTGCCTCCTGGTGCGGGCTTCCTCGTGGTGTCTGTTAGGTCAGTGTTCAGGATGAAACCCAGCGCATTGTGGGAAATAACAGAATGTCACACAGTGGTATCATCAGTCCCAGAAGCAGACTTTGAGAAGCAGGGCAGGGCTGAAAAGTAGTATAAAAAGCATGGCTGCAGATGTCATTATGTCTTGTTATGACTAGGTAAATAATAATCTCAGCAGAGCTGTATTGTGTACTGTGACTATTCTTTTTTTTCTAACAGCGTTTTGTTTTCTGGAATTAGTAATTGTTTAGTCTCGTATGTACCTTTTTCAAATTGCAGTGCTAGTCTTTTGCCTGTTTCTAAGATCTCTACTTACACATTCAAACATGTTAGGTGTCTGTTGACTTGTGCCTTGCTTGTGCCCCACTTCACGCCCTCTGGATTGCTGTCCAGCCTCGCCGCACAGCTGCTGGCGCTGAGAATCCTTCTTTACCACATGGAGACTCCCTCTGACCGGTGTTGATCTCCTCTCCATCTTCATTTTTCTTTTGGTTAATTCCCCTGTTTCGGAAGAGCACATTTTTCACTCAATCTCTGAGAAAAGGTGTATGGGAGGTAAATGTTTTGTGATCTTGTATATCCACAGATATTTTTTACTGTCCTAATGTTAAGATTTTCTTCTGTCTTTAATTTTCACAAGTTTGTGATATGACTTAGTCTGAATTTCTTTAGGCTTATCCTATTTGGTTTTCACTCAGGTTCCTGAATCTATATGTTTACAACTTTTGACAAATTTGGGATATTTGCAGCCATATATTTAATACTACTTTTCAGCCCCACCCTCTTTCTCAAACTCTGCTTCGGGGACTGATGATACACTGTTTGATGTTTTGTTATTTCCAACAAGTCACTGGGTTCCTGTTCATTTTTTCAGTCTGTTTTCTCTCCATTCCGTTTGAGTAAATTTTATAAGTTCCATTGCTTTTTTGAGGTTTTCTATTTTTCTTTTTGTCTGTTTCAAGAGAATTTGTAGTTGCATTTTGAAGCCTTTTTATGATGGCTGCCTGAAAGCCCTTTGCAGTGATTCAGCGCCTGCTTTGTTGCTCTTGGTGTTGGCCTCAGTTGATTTCTTTCCTCATTCGTGCTGTGATTTCCTGGTGTTCAGAATGAGAATTGCGTCCTGGACACTTCAGAGAGTATGCTAGGAGGTACTGGATCCTGTTTCAGTCTTCTGTCTTAGCAGGCCACAGCCCTGATTGGGTTTCTGTGATGGTCCTGGCCTCTGTTAGTTGGCTGAGGTTCCAGTGACAGCTCAGTTTTCAGAGTCCTTGTGGAGGTCTGTGCTCAGCTTCTTCCACCTTGTCTGGTGGGGGCTCCTGTGGGGTCCCTGGTGCTGCTAGATGTAGGGGTAAAGCGGTGTGAGTGTCAGAAATGCTGGGACTAGGTTGTTCCCTGTGGCTGGATGGAGGGGGGAAGTGCTGGACCTGGCTCTTCCCCTGTGTTTGAGTAGAGGGTGGGGAGGTGCTGGGCCTGGGTCTTCCCCTGTGTTTGAGTAGAGGGCAGGGAGATACTGGGCCTGGGTCTTCCCTTGTGTATGTGTGTTGGGGGGAGGTGCTGGACCTGGGTCTTCTCCTGTGGATGGGTGGGGAGGGGGGGGATGCTGAGCTTGCTCCTTTCCTGCAGGTGTGGGTGGTTTGCCAGGAGAGGCCAGTGTGGCTAGGCAGGGCTTTTTGCCCCCACTGGGTGTGGGTGCTGAGGTCACTGGTGTGGGGAGAACCTGGTGCTCCATGGGCCAGGGGATATTCTACCCTGTTGCTGTGGGTGCTGTAGTGCAGGAGGATCACCTGCATGTGGGTGCTGTGATGCATGTGGGTCACCTGCTGTCAGTGGCTGGGGGACCATTGTGAGACTCTCTGTGTTGCTGTGAAGAGATTTGAGTGGGTGGAGTGAGTCAGGGAGTGGGCTTTCTGCTAGTATCTGCTGGGCCACCCTGTTGGCCAGTGACAGCAGGCTTCTCTTGGGGAATTCTTTTGGTCTATTCTCGTTGGCAGGTTTGGGTTGCCAGCCTCTCCAGAGCCAAGACCTGGGTGGATGGAGATCAAAAGAAAACCCATAGTCAGTCTCCCTTCCTCTTTCCATCTTTCAGAAGTCTGAAAATATGGTCCGTCTCTGAGAAAAATGCAAATTAAAATGAGGTACCATTTTTCCCCCATCAGTTTAGCAAACATAAAAGTGTTTGGCAATATCCAGTGTTGGTGAAAGTTTGAAGAAGTAATAACTCTTAGAAACTGTTGGTGGGAAGGTAGCTTGGTGTAAGTTTGTAGAACATTTTTGGGGAGCAATTTAGAAAAATATGTATTAAAATTAAGGCATATACTTGTTCTCTGACCAGAATTTAATGTGCGGGCTTATTTACAAGTGTGTTTGAAGATATATGTGCAAGTATTTTTAATGCATCCTCATTTTGCAGTATAAAAAAGCCGGAAATAATGTAAAAATCCATTAGTGGAGAGCTGATAAAATAATTCATGGCACAGGCATATGGTGTAATGTTATGCAGTTAGTTAGGTAACTATAAGTGCTGCTGGAAAAGTGACCACAATATATTTTTTGTAAGTTGTAGAGAAGTATGTACAAAAGTGTGGGTATGTTTATGCAGGCAAAACAGTGGCAGACTAAGGCCTTTCAAGCCAGTAAAAGGGTTTTCTCTGGGGACTGGGGTAAGGGTGGTGGTCAGGGTACCACCCACAGAAGGACAGGAAACCTCAGCTTCTTTACTTTAAATATAATATAATTATTTCATAGTGAAATAGTCTGTACTTTGTGTAATTTTTCTCCCTCTGCCCGCCCTTTTCAGGACATGACCGATAACAGCAACAATCAACTCGTAGTAAGAGCCAAGTTCAGTTTCCAGCAGACCAATGAGGATGAGCTCTCCTTTGCGAAAGGCGACATCATCCACGTCACCCGTGTGGAGGAAGGAGGCTGGTGGGAGGGCACGCACAATGGCAGGACGGGCTGGTTCCCCAGCAACTACGTGCGCGAGATCAAGCCAAGCGGTGAGTGGCCAAGCCTGGCCTGTGTGTGGCACTGACTGGCGCTTTGCTTCTGATGAGGAGCAGCAGCAACACATGGGTGTAATCAGCACACTAAGTGCTTATTCTCCAGTCGAACTTGCGTACAGGACCCTCCTGGTGTTAGGATTAAACTTTTTGTTCAGCGGAATAGATTTTTCCCTTACCCCCATGTCGGTGTGCTGGGATAAAGGACTCCATAGTGTGCTTGGCAGAGGTTCTCTGTGTTCACGGAACATGCATACTGTCTTCCTGAATGCAGGCGTTGCTCAGCCCATGTTCATTCCATGGATCCACGTTATTTATTAGGAAGAAACTGTGCAAAGACTGCCAGGTGTCATGAATGTGACCACGTAGTTCTTGCCTTCAGGGAGCTTACAGTGGATTCATATGTGTGTATGAATGGCTGCTCTTATGAGATGTAAAAGAAGCAGAGTGAGATTTCAGAAACACTGTCTTGCAGGGGAGGAGTGTGGGTGGGCAGATGGAAGTGTGGGTGAGTCTCATCCAACTTGACTTGCGTATTGCCCTCGTGTTTGAGCAATGCTGTTGTACCATGCAGTGTCTCTGGTTCTGTTTGGGGAAAGAGTGCTTTGTGGAGAACAGTGGGTCAGCAGGCATTGTGGAGAGGATGGGGTGTGAAGTCGTAGCCGTGCACGGGGCGAGGGGAGACAGCCTTCAGAGCTGCAGGTGTCCCCAGCATGAGATGAGTGCCATGGCCCCTCGCTTGTTAGGGTCCTGTGGGGCATGGAGGGGGCTCAGTGAGTGGCAATTGCTGCTCAGTTTTTCAAGGTAACAAGAAGAAAAGTGTTTTAATAAGGCAGCAGGCAGCCCTTATTTGTGAAGTGTTCTGGTATTGGATTTGTTAGGAAGAACGCATGCCTTTTCCCTCTTTTTAGTTGTTGTAAAATATATACAACATACCATTTCCCATGTTTAAGTGGGCAGTCCGGGGCATTAAGCACATTGACACTGTTGTGCAGCTGTCCTCACCATCCGTCTCCAGAACTCTTCATCTTCCCAAACCGAAACTCTGTCCCAATAAATAACTCCTTGTCCTCTCCCCCAGCCCCTGGCAGCCACCGCTCTACTTTCTGTCTGTGAATTTGACTGCTCTAGGAAGCTTGTGTCAGTAGAATCATATAGTTGTTACCTTCGTGACTGGCTTTTTCACGTAGCGTAATGTGCTTAAGGTTTATCCATGTGGTAGCATTGTCAGAATTACCTTTTTTTTTTAGGCCCCATAATATTCCGTTGTACATATATACTATGTTTTTTTAATCCACTCATCCCTCGATGGAAACCTGGCTTGCTTCCACCCCTTGGCTGTGTGAATAGCACTGCTGAGGACACGGCGTGCAGACACCTGTTGGAGTCCCTGCTTTCCATTCTCCTCAGTGTGTGCCCGTGGTGGGGTTGCTGGTTGAATAGGGGCTTTTGAGGAGCTGCTTTCCGCACTGCTGTCCACAGCAGTGGCACATTTCTTACCACCATTTTCCCCGCAGCCTCCCCACCTTGGGTTTTCTGTGTTTTGATAATAGCCATCGTATTAGGTCATTGTTGCTGTTTTTTTGTAGTTGTTAAAAATAGTATTAAAAAAGCAAGTGTTTTTCATTATTATACTAATAAAGTCAGCTTAGCCAAGATTTTTTGGCTGCTTATTATGTTCTTATCACTGTAGAAAGTGCTTTTCATCTATGACCTCAGTCAGTCTTCATCATAACCCTGGAGGACAAGTACTGTTGGGATATTAAGGGGTAGGGTACAAATAAATGATGACAATCAGAAAAACCTCTATCTGTGTGTAGAGCTACCTGAGGGGATGGAAATGGCAACCTAGCACCACAGCTGCTGGGAACGTGGCTGTTTTGCCACTCAGCACAGGCTCCGGTTGGAGAACTCTGTCTTCTCTGGGGACAAGGGGGAGGCTGGAAGGAGGGTTCATCATTCCCTGCCCAGGTGAGGGGTTGAGGCCCCATGCGGCCACGTGGGGCAGACCATCAGGAGTGGCGCGGCCCAGATGCATAGGTGCTTGCTGAGTCTGCTCTTTCTGACCATCATGTGGCTTTCATGACTTCTATGTGAACTGCTCATTTAAATCTGAATTCTGGTCTCATTTTGAATGGCCGTAGTAAAAGTGTGGATGAGTGAATGTTTACTTTTCAGGTATTTCCCTTTGTGGAATTTTCAGAGTTAACCTGGTGGGTCTCCTCTTCAGGTGACTTGTGGGAGTGATTTTCAAATGTATTTGAATGCCGTTGTGTCCACTGTGGCAGTAGTTTGTTTCACAGCGTGTTGTTTCCCTTTCAAAGTCCAGAGGACTGTGTTGCATACCTGTTGCTCTAGGGCCCCATTGTTGGAGTGGAGTGAGAGCCCTGGGAGCCGGCTGCGGTGTAAGAAGCTCTAAGAGGCGCCAGCTGTGATGTGCTTGGGACTGTCAGCCTACATCGGGAACAGCTGCATCACTTCCTTCTACCTGAAATTCCCATTTGTGTGTCTTAGTCTGTGCTTCTGAGTGTGTGTGTGGGAACAGTTTAAATGGGTATGCACAGTGCTTTGCTGTCAAAGAGCTCTCGGCAGGGCCAAACCAGATTTGTAGTTTTTATACTTAACTGAGACCTAAGTAGGGTTGTTCGGAAATTTTTCCTTTTTTTCCTATTTTTTTTAAAATAGAAGAAAATACCTTATTTGCTTATATTTGTGATTTTTTTGTGCGAAATATTCTTTATCTGATAGTTGAACCAAGGGAATAACCTCTTTTGGGAATAACTCCCCATCTCTAGTGTTCTCAGATCACCTGAGTATATTGTAGGGAAGTTTTGCTGGTCTGATTGTGAATGGGGCCTTTGAGACAGGAGGCGTGAAACTGCATTTTTCACCATATCACTTTATGGTAGTTAAGAATGAAACTCTAGGATCACAGGTACATTTCAGTATTGTATTTTTTTCAGTAGTTTATGAGGCTTTCTGATTTTTTTCCCCCTTTTTTGAAGAGAATGTTTAATGTAAGCGTGGTAATTTATAATGTAATTAGTGCTTAATTTTTTGAAAAGAGAATTGTGCCAGCTTTCAGACAAAGAGACTTCTCTAAATGGCAGTTCTGTTGGCATCATTGTCTTATGAAATGAAAGCACTGACTTCCTTGAGTTGAGGGTTTCATTTCTGCATTACATTTTGATTTACAAATGTTCATATTGAATAAACAAAAACCGAGGTCTGCCTCTAAATGATATTTTTTAGGCTGCATATCACCAGATAAATTATCAATTGTCCAATTTCTCTACTTCCCTAGGGAAGTTAAATAGCCATTGATTATTTGCCCTCTTGTGGTTAGAAGTGTTCTTGTCAAGCTGTGCATTTGTGCTTTTAACGTGTGTATGGTTTCTTGTCTGAAATAGTCCCTCTTTGAAGACAGATAGCTTCTAAGATTCTGTGTAAGGATCTTCCTAAAGATTGCATCAAAAGCACTGTATGTTATTCCTGAATATGTGCAATCTTAAGGAAGATACATCATTGTTACTTAGCACTTATTTTCTATGCACCTTTTAGGATATGTGAATACCATAGATTTCTACTGCATTTTGCACACACAGATGTCTGTGTGTTTTTTACACACACACACACACACACACACACACACACACACACACACACACACACACACTGCAGAATTTCCTAAATCCAAGGGAGAAGCAAGGAGAGGGAAGCAACAAGGCCCATCCAAGAGTGAGTGACGTTGACTGTTGCTGTTACTTAGTAAAAGTGGAGGAACTTTTCAGTCGTAGCTGGTTGGCACAGTATGGTGCAAGCAGGGAGCAGATGAACACCGTCAAGGCCAGCCTGGGTGGGTGAGCGCAGAAGTGATGCTCTTGGTGCTTGCAGGTGCGTGTGTGTGTGTACACTCACTGGCTATCTTTTAGGTGACTATTTCTAACGTGCTGAATTTACTTCTTCTATTTCTGGACATTTCTTTATCTGATGTAAAGGTATTTCTTTTCACTGTTATTTTAGGATCTGGTTAGATCGAGAGTATGACTAATAACCTGTGCTCGGCAACGGTATGAGAACTTAAATGGGACTCTCATTTGCCAATCCCCAGATCTTTAGTTCACACTGCTGCTTTCTAAATTAGTCACTTTTTAATATTTTGTTTACTTTTGACATAAAAAAGCGACATAACATGCAGCTGCATTTTGGACGCAATTATTAATTTAGCTGTAAAGTAAGTGTTTGATATAAATTAACTTGTGCAGGGGAGGGGCACAGGCGACGTGGAGTCTGTTTTCCTTTGTGTCATTGGAAACAGTTGTGCTGTTCCCTTACTCTTCCTTGGTGTGAATTGGGTTTGGACACGTGTCCATTTGCAAATGTGCGCATGTGTGAGTGATATTAAGTTCTGAAAACACCCAGGATAAGGCTGCATTACAGGGTGGGTGTCACAGCAGTCTTTCTTCCAGATATAAATCATTTTTTTTAGAGGATGGAAAAGCATAAATTAGAAGATATCAGCCTCTAAGGCATGTGTAAGGAACGTAGTGTTATGTATTGAGGGGTCCAGGATTAGATGGTTTGGGATTTTTTCCAGAATGTGGAAAAGAATATTCCTGCAGATTAACATACCAAGTGTGCACTCACTCAGACACCAATGTCACGGTGCAAAGTGGGGGCTGTTCTGTGGTTGTGGCCACCACCCAGTAACAGTGATGAAATATCCTCAATTTCAAGGCACAGCCCATAGACCAGCTGATGAACAGTAGTTTGGGCTCGGGGTTGTTAGCCTGCTAGTATTAGAGATGCTCTTTTTCAAAAATTTTAATTGATGCGAAGGTAATGCAAGCACGCGATGACAAGGCAAGTAGGTCAGAAGAGCTTGTGGTGAACAGCAAAGGTCTTCTGCCCCTCCAGGCCCTGGCCCTGGGAGAACCTGTCCCAGCTGCCTTTCTGCCTCCAGAGGCCACCTCACAGCTCTTTTCAGTGTGCAGAGGCTTCTCTCTTGGATTTATGCCCTTTGGATTCCTTAGCTTCTCTTCCCTCTCTCCTCCTTCCAAGCTTGTCCTTTATGTTCCTGTGTTGTCGTTCTGTTGGTTCCCTTTGTTGGTACCATGAAATGTTGTGGCACAGATTCAGATGTTTACACTGGCACTGCTTTCCTTCAGCATCCGCTCAACAGACACAAACATCTGTAGAACCAGTGGTAGACACACTCACACACACCTGTAGAGCCATTAATAGTCACACACACATCCCATAGAACCACTGGTAACACACTGACACACACCAGTAGAGCCACAGATAGACATAAACACATCCCATAGAACCAGTGGTAGATATACTCACACACACCTGTAGAGCCACAGATAGACATATACACATCACATAGAACCAGTGGTAGACACACACACACACACGCTTTCCTTCAGCATCCGCTCAACAGACACAAACATCTGTAGAACCAGTGGTAGACACACTCACACACACCTGTAGAGCCACAGATAGACATATACACATCACATAGAACCAGTGGTAGACACACACACACACACACCTGTAGAGCCACAGATAGACATATACACATCACATAGAACCAGTGGTAGACACACACACACACACACCTGTAGAGCCACAGATAGACATATACACATCACATAGAACCAGTGGTAGACACACACACACACACACCTGTAGAGCCACAGATAGACATATACACATCACATAGAACCAGTGGTAGTCTGTCTGTATTTGCAAATGACATGACAACACACACACACACACCTGTAGAGCTATAGACACACACACATCCCATAGAACCACTGGTAACACACTGACACACACCAGTAGAGCCACAGATAGACATAAACAAATCCCATAGAACCAGTGGTAGACACACTCACACACACCTGTAGAGCCACAGATAGACATATACAGGTCACATAGAACCAGTGGTAGACACACTCACACACACCTGTAGAGCCACAGATAGACATATACACATCACATAGAACCAGTGGTAGACACACACACACACACACCTGTAGAGCCACAGATAGCCATATACACATCACATAGAACCAGTGGTAGACACACACACACACACACCTGTAGAGCCACAGATAGACATATACACATCCCATAGAACCAGTGGTAGACACACACACACACACCTGTAGAGCTATAGACACACACACATCCCATAGAACCAGTGGTAGACCAACACACATACACCTGTAGAGCCATTGATAGTCACACACATCCCATAGAACCAGCGGAAGACACACTCACACACACCTGTAGAGCCATTGATAGTCACACACACCCCATAGACCCAGTGATAGACATACACACACAGTGCTATGTTTTTGCTCAGTAAGCACTTCTTCAGTAGCTGTTATGCTGAATGACTGTTGAATGGATGCTGAGTGTAAGCAGTGCCATTTTAAAACACGTGAATCCTTGGGTAATTGTGACTGCTGTAATTGTTGTGCCTGGTGTGGAGGTTCTGAAGGCTATGAGGTTTCCTCTGGTCTTTACTTCTGCTTGCAGTGCCTCTCTTCCTTTCTGTCTCCTCTGTGTGGTGATTATTTCAAGCCTTGAGCCAGATTCTAGTTGTTCAGAGAGCCTTTGCATTCTGAGTGATCTGAACCCCTAAAGTTTAGTCTAGAACTGCAGGTCTTGATGCTTTATTACTGTTACATATCTGCCAATGTTACACTTTCCTCTGTGTAACTGAGACAGAGAAAAGAGAAAGAAAGAATTCACTCAAAGTACCATCAGTGAGGCCTGGAGGGACTGCCACCCATCAGGGGAGCAGCCTCAATCCAAAATCAGCTTTCCTTTTTATTGACAAGACAAGGAAGTTTCACAAGGAAAATCAGTTGATTCAATCATCAAAGAAGGACAAGGACAAGGGCAGTGTTACAAAAGTATAGCTTAACAATGGAAACTAGTCACATTAGTAAAATAAAGTGACATTCCAAGGTACAATTAGTAAAAAGCTAAGTTGGTCAAACTGGCTCATTATCTAAAGAATGACCTCTCCTTAAGCAGAAGTTACATTCTTATGATAAAATCTAAATACTCTTATTTCTAAAGTTTCCCCCAACAGTCAGCTTGCTCCTAGAGACTTTGTAGCCTGGGGAAGATTTTCTGTCCTTTGCAAGGTCAATATTTGAAACTGCAAGGGTTTGGAAAACCAGACCCTGTGAAATACATATGCTTTTATGCATATTCCACATGCCAACATTTTCTCTAATTCTATTTGGGTAATTTTTCATATTAACTTCACTGATAAGATATATGTGTAGCTAAACTGTTCTGTTTTTATCTGACACTTGTGGAGCATAATCTCTCAGATGTTTTCAACCCAAAACAGGAGAATGGGGTGGGTGATGGGTATGCGGTGACTGAGCTGAGCCCGGGAGAGACATGGTCTCTCCTGCTCCGCGGTCATTCTGCGGGGCCTTCTCCTCGGTTTTCGGTTGGGGCTGTTGGATGAGCAGCCTCGGGCTGCATGAGGCCAGTGCACTGGTCATCTCTAGTATGGATCAGTAAAAGCACATTACATTTTCATTTCAGAAAAGCCTGTGTCTCCCAAATCAGGAACATTGAAGAGTCCTCCCAAAGGATTTGATACGACTGCCATTAACAAAAGTTACTATAATGTGGTGAGTAAATGCAAAACATTTTTTATAAATAACTTTCATTTTTTAAACCCCTGTAAAACTCTGTAAAACTCAGCAATGTAGAATGTAGGTACACTACCTAGAATATGACAGAGGAAATAAAAATGATCTGTTATCTGCTGAGATAAAACCACCATTAATGTTTTGGTATATTTCATTCTAATCTCTGTGTATTTTTATCATCTTACATTTTTGTTTTAATATTGTATATATGGAATTGTACCCTGCTCTTGCCACATAATGTGGTATTGTGAATATTTCCTCATACCATTAAAGTCTTCAAACATGAGATTTTAAAAGGTGTATAATGTGATTTAAAAATTTTATATGCAGTGAGTGCCATTATATTAGTATTTGGAATAGACTATAAATACTTTAGGTCAGTACGGTTTCTAGTTTATTTTGTATCTTTAATATAGTCTTTCGTGGGATTGGTGTATGTGTATCAGATGGCATGGGATTAGAGGAGAGTGTCTAGACATTACACATGTTAAAGACACGTGTTTCTGGATCCTGAACTTGGCTGCATTTTGAAACTTAATATGATCATTTTGTGGAGCTTAAAAAAAATCTGTGGTATTAAATGTGTGTAATCTGAACCTTCTTTGTCCCTAAACAATTGCATATGCTACAGAAATGGCATTTATTTAGATAACATTTTAAATTGCTAGTGTGTATCTACTCAGTATGATAACAGTAAACTTTCTAAACGTGTATAAAAGTTGAATTATTTGGAAAATGTGCATTTATTTTGTTATTCTCCTATCCCCAATCTTCTTTATTTTTGTGTTCAGGAGATATAAATATAAACCCCTGAAACCTTTGAATATCTTATGTAAAATAGCAACTTAAGTGTTTTTTGGCCCTCTTATCATGAGTGTTTCATTTTCTGTATCTTTGTTAAGAAATGGTGAGAAATTGTGTTGAGTTTGAGTATGAGTGGCCTTCCACACTGGCTTCTTGCCACAGTCCTGTGCTGTGGGTCTGCACAGTCAGTATTCTCTTGAGCACTTTTCTTCCACTTGCACCTCCCATGTCTTATTACAGCACGACTGACTCGTTTAATGAACACTTTTTAGTTCCTACTCCATGCCAAGTACTGTTAGAGGGATTGTGTAGTACTGGAAGTGGCAGACTCTCTTCCCTTGTGGAGCTTATGTTTAGTACATGGACACGATTGTTTTCTTTCGCCTCCTGCCTCCGTCTTTATTGCCTCTTTTTCGTGGTTTCCTTTCTTCCCCTCCTTGTTGGCAGGCGTCTTTATGCACCATGCTGCTGAACTTGCCTCTGGAGCAGTCCTTGACTTCTTTTTCCTTCCTCCTTGATCGGCTCCAGATCCTGCTCTTCCCTAGAGATCCTTTGAGTCTTACCCTCTGCACCTCTTTTTCTTCTCTTTCTCTCACCCCCCTTCATCTGATTAATTTGGACTCTGACTTTCACCTCAACTCCCTTTGTAGCCTTGTTTTCCCAGAAATTAGAGAGGGGTAGGTATTTTTAACCCCATGGAGAGATAAGAAGACTTTGCACTGTGGACTGATGTTGTTAGGGAAGGTTAAGTGAAGGACTTTAGTCTCAGCGTGGGATCACTGGAGGGGAGTGAGGGGAGAGTATTCCAGGTGAAGGTGCAGACATTCTGAAACTGGGAGACTCATTCTGAAGAGAGGAGACAGATGTGAGTGGGGTGTATGTGTCTTCCTACAGTGGTGTGATGGTTAAGATAACCAGAAAGCATTGGGAAGTGAGAAATGGTTCCTAGTGACTAAGGACTGTCGCTGTGCAGTGCTTGTCCTCTGCTGCCCTCTGCTCTCCTTCTGGTACTCCTGTCGTGCACGTGTTGGTAAGCGTGATGGTGTCCCATAGGACTCTCAGCCTCTGTTCACTTTTCTTCATTTTTCCTTCCTGTTCCTCAGATTGGATAATCTCTATTGATCTCTTCATGTTGGCTGATATTTTTTGCCAACTCAACTCTGCTGTCGAGTCCCTCTAGTGAATTTTTCATTTCAACTATTGCACCTCTCAATGTAGAATTTCTATTTGGTTGTTTTTATAGTCAAATATAGACTGTGTGTGAGTCATTGATAGTAATAAATTGCAAGCAACCTGAATAAACAGCAGTGTCAGAATAAGTGATCTTTGTTATGTCCATTTGTAATTATTAAAATGCACACGAGCCTTTAAAAATATCAAAGAATATTTTTGTGTTAAGTGTGATAAGTAGAATATAAAAATTATATAGGTAATATGACCTAATGGTATTAAAAAGTTGACATAGAAGACACTGCAGAGAATGGTTTCTTTTGAGTGACAGAGTTTTGTTCTTCTGTGAATGATGGTGATTTGGAGGAGTACTTTGACCCCAGAATCCACAGTGGTGGAGATGGAATTGGAGATCTTAGGGGCCAGCGAGAAAGCTATTGTGGACCACGAGCAGGGATGTGGGGGCCTTGGGCCTGGAGAGCAGCAGTGGAAGGAAGAAGAGAATCAGAGCTGTTTGGGTACCCACACAGTTGGTGAGCTTTGTGGCACAGCCAGCCCCCACTCTTGCCTTCACTTTCTCCTATGCGTGCTGTTGGAGATCAGTCTGTTAGCAGAGTCTTAGGTCAGTGAAGGATTGGGGTGCCCTTGTTGTCGGTAGCTCAGCTAAGATCAGGGCAGCCCAGGACAGTGGAAGGAGTCCTGGCTTCGTGTTTAGTTGTCCATGCTGCCTGGCAGTGGGTGGCTGGAGGTAAGCCCCTGGCTGCCTGAGCAAATTCCTTCATTTGTAAAATAAGGTTGGTAAAGCTGGCCTTGGCCTCGTAGCATTGTTAGGAGGATTAGTGGTTGGCCTTCCTGTGCCTAGTAAAGTGCTGGGCAGCAGAGGTTTCTATGGTTATCAGGAAGGACGTTTAGGGGCAGAAGGCACTACTGAGGCCACCACACCACTCTGTAAACAGGCATCCCAGTAGCTTTTGAGGACAGCCTGGGAGAGCTGCAGCCAGGGTGGCCTGATCCTACAGTTAGAGGAGACGTGTTGGGACCTGATGTGATGTGCCTGAGCTTGGTAGGTCTGACAGTGAAAGTACCTTCACTGCACCCACAGCCTAGTGACCGGCATCTTTCCCAATAGGGATCAAAGAACGGGTTTGGCTGCCCAGCCCTGGGGAGAGATGGTCTTGAGTCTGCTCATGTTGTGGGGAGGAGTGTTCTCACTCGTCACTCGAGAACAAGTCGTTAAGGACTCCGTGTTGGCGATGCTTTGCGGTTTTATTTTGCAGGCTTTCCCTTTCATCGGTAGTTCATTAGTCGGTACTCTATGTATGGGGACAGGAAGTGGTTTTCCTTCCACTCATCCTGGGACAGTGGGGTAGCTTTTGCATTTGGAATACTGCAAATATGATGTAATAAGTAGGAGTCACTAGTTTTAATTCATAAACATACAAAAAGGACATGCATCTTTCACCAGATGCCAGTACACACTTCCAGGGACCTATCCTGTGCCCCAGAGACACTGCTCCTGTCTGTCCTCCCTGCTCCCTCAGTTGCCTGTGGCCTCTGGGTGCTGGGTGGGGGAAAGGGGACAGAAAAACTGAGACTGTGGTGCCAGGACGTCTTTTGTGACCATCCATCAGCACTAACCCTAAACCCTGGTTTTGCTTCATCTTTTTATCTTTTGCTTTTCTCCACCTTAGCCAAGATTTCTTTAAAATCCTGTGACATCTGAAGTCTCTGCTTGGGGCCTGTAGGTGAATAATGTTAATTATTAGTTACCTTGAGGAATTAGGGAGGGGTGTGGGGCTCAATTCCCTTGTGGTTCTTCTAGAGAGCTGTCTCCCTCCTTTCTCATATCCCAACCACATCTTATAAGGGCAGTGAGGAGCCTGCTAGCTTCTCTGATGAACTTTGCTCCCCATTGTTTTTTATTTTTATTTATTTTATTTTTTATTTTATTTTATTTTTTGTCTTTTTTCGTGTCCGGCAACGGATCGCAACCCTCAGTGTCGCGCCCGCACCTCACTCAGCCAGTGAGCAGGAACCAGTCTGTATGTGGGATCCGAACCCTCGGCGGGAGCACCGCCTCACTCCCAAGCGGTGCACTGTAGCAGTGCGCCACCGGGCTGGCCCCCCATTGTTTTTTATATAATTTCTTTTTTAATATAAGATGATATAGATTAAGGTTTTCATGAGGTAGCAGGAGCCTGACACAGAGTAGTAGTTAAGAGTTCGTTAATGAATGAAGAATTGAGTTGTTTAATTATGGGAAAGGCTGTCTTGTTAAACAGTTACCTCCTGACTAAAGGAATCATTCAAGAAGCTGCTCCAAATAGGATTCCAGGTTTGGGAAGTTATACTAGGTGGTTGGTAACATTCCTTTCTACCTGAAGTCAGTGACAGACACTCTTGAGTAACTGTGTACTTAGGAAAATCTCTTTTTGTACAAGAAGGAAACAGACCGATAGACTTGTCCAGTCACAGGAAGTAAGTGGCAGAGCCAGGACTTGAGTCCGGGTCTGTCTGGTTCTAAGGCCAGCTCTTTGCGTGCCGTGGCACATGTGAGCAGGCATTTGCTAGTGTCAGTTTCCTTCTGGAACATGTGTCATAGTGGACTCACAGACTTTTGCAGTAGCTATTATCTAGTAAACCTTTAACATTTGGAAGAAATATCGCAAGTCCCTGTGAATGGCCAAATTTAGGAATACTGTAATAACATTCTTTTAATTTCTTTCAAAAGATACAGTAACATAAAACAGAAACATTTATATGGCCCTTCCAAATTCTTTTTTGAGAGTTAATATTATTAAGAAGTAACTAAGTATTAAATAGTATTTAAAGACAAACAGATCAGTAATCTGCATTAACTCAGTAGTTGCGGGGTGGGGTGGGGTGGGGGTGTGTGGAAGGGTTCCCTGCTGAGTGTGGACTTGTGGAGCCAGCAGGGGCTCTGGGGACGGCAGCTTGGGCAGCCATCTCTTCCCCTCCTCTCCCTACAGTCAGATAGTCTATTGGAGGCTGACTTGTAGCTGAAGTCCTACCTTGTCGACTTTTTGACGATTTAAATACTTAGGTTAAATAGACCGCATTGAAAGGAGAATGTTTAGATCATTTTTACTTTGTGGCAGCAGGCGGGGCGGGGCTGGTCAGAGTGGATGGAAGAGGTTTACAGTACATGAGCCATTTTAGCTTTTCTTCTTGTGCTTGTGATCTAGGATTATGATAAGGAAATTGGGTTTTAGTTTATGATGATGATCTTTTATCTGGGTGAAATCTAAAAAATGTTATCTGTTTCTTTTATATGTAAATCAGTTGTTTATTTTTAAAGGACTGTTGATGACATATAAAAAGTTGGAACCCATCTGTAAAATCAGAGATCCTAAATGCTCCTTTAGTGACTACTAATAAAGTAAGTTTCTGTGTGTCCGCAAAGAAAGAAGTCAGCCCTTTTTGTTTTGTTTTGCTTTAAGGCTGACAGTTCAGGGATTGTCTGTGGCTTGACTGATGTGTCCACCCTCCTGTGTGGCACCATTGTTTGACTGGACTTGATTGTCCACGCCTCATGACTCAGGGAAAGCTCGCGCTGGCTGAGCTCAGCTCTCTGGGCCGTTCTTCAGCTTTTTCCCTGAGAACTGCACACGTTCTCTGGGTTTTCAGCCGTGGTGGGATGGAGCTGTGGCGGCCAGGCTGTGAGGTTTCATGGGGTCCTGCAGCAGCCAGAGTGTGCAGAAGGCGAGGAGGGGAGGCAAGGTGACAGCTGGCAGCTCTGGGTGCACTGCCGAGGTCAGGAGGGCATGTGGCCTCCCAGCAGAGGGGAGGTCATGCAGGCAGGAGCCAGGGAGCCAGGTCTTGTCATGTGTTTGTGGAAAATCTAAGTGTAACTTGTGTTGTTTGCTTGTGAGTATATAGAAATTGTCTTTAGCACCTATTTGAAAGTAGTGTCCAAGGCTAGTAGTTGAAATTAGCCAGCTTTTCTAATGAATTTGGCTTTCTAGAAGAGGGTTCTTTGGAATTGTTTTTGGTATGTTCTTATGACGCGTTTATGTCTGTGTACTCTGCTTAGTGCTGCAACTGAGGGTGTCTCATTGTCTTCTCCTACTCATGTTCCTACCTGTGATGTTTTCTGTTGGTTATTTTCCTCCCCTTACATCACACAGGAATGGTTTTCTGTTTGAAAAAAATAAATATAGGTTTTCAAGCGTGTGCTATATAGGCACTGTTGCTAAGTAGGTCTCCAATATTTGTGGTTAAGAAACTAAATCATATTTCTTACCTTTGTTTTAACATTGGAGTAAGACTTTTCTTCTTATACATACATCTGTGACAGATTTTCTTAGTTCAAGGTCCCCATCACCTTACTTCTCCCATTGGTTTTGAAGGTCAGGTCTGGTTCAGAGTAGAAGTCCCTGGTGATGGGTGCAGTGGCTGTCGTCACAGTGTGTCTTCTGTCTGCCAGGCCTTTGACATTTGTGTCCAACCAGCATTTCTTAGAAGGAAGACATTATAATCATGGGATCAGCGTCCAGATTTCCCCACAAAGGAGGCAAACTCCCCAAGTGGTCCCTCCTCCTCTGGCTTGCCTGCCAGTTGTCTGCCATGAATAGAGCCATTCAGGAATGGAACCAGAGTTCAGTGTCACCAGTCAAAGAGCCTCTGATTTTTTTCATTTTAAATAGTTTAGTATGTAAGTTATTTAATCAGGTTTATGTTTACTCCTGAATAACTATACTCTCTCCATAGAATATACAGGAAACAGTAGTGAACAAAATAATAATCTGAGTTGTGTTTATTAAGGGTGAAATTTAAATTTAACTTAATGAAGACTTTTTTCTTAAACAATTAAACTTACATTTGGATCATCAAAAATCATGGGGAGAAAACAGCATGTTTGTCTTTATTACTTCTGCACAGTTTCTTTTGTGTGATTAATTTAGAATTATTTGTTAGCATAGGAAGACAAATAGCACATCTTAGTGCCTGTACTAGATGCTCAGAAAATATACGTAGTAGGGTTTCCTGGTTAAGAATACACTGGCTGGCAGAGTGGGGGGAAGAGAGTGGGGGAGAGGATTTCTCTTTACTCATGTCAGGTACCGAGGGGCGGGGTGGAGCAGGGCAGGGCGCTGGGCCTGCTACCTGCTGGTGTTTGATTTGTGATAAGATGACCTCTCTGAAAGGAGAACTTTCTGCAAGGTTTAGAGATACCATATGCAGAATACCTTGCTTAGTGCCAGGAGTATAGTGAGCATTAGTAAATGGGAACCCAGCTCACCAGAGTTGTTGTAACACTTGCGCTTTGCATCTGGGCTTTGGAAACTGTGGGCACCTTCACGCCCTGCCCTGCCAAGTGCCTTTGCTATTGGTGATTGCTGATAGAAAGCGGTCATGTTGTAGTTCAGCTGTTTTGTATTTGTCCCAGGAGTTAACTAATTTTGGTTACATCTGCTACACTGATATAGGGTATCAGGAAACATTTTAAGATTAATTTATAACCTGCTACCTTAAAAAAAAAGTAGTGGCTATTTAAAGATTGTTTACATTAGTAGACCTTAAATTTTTAATAAACATAATGTGTAGGATGATCTGAGATTGTTGTATTCTCTAATGAAATCTATAGTTGCCAGAAATTGCTTCTAAGTTTTTAGATTCAATCTAAAGAGTAAACTTTGGCTTTTCAGTTGAGATATACTTTTCATATACTAAAATGTATAGATTTTAAAGGTACAGTTCAGTGAGCTTTGACAAATGTGTGATCTGTGTAACTACTACCCAAATCAAAATACAGATCCTGTGTGTCACCCCAGAAACTTATCTCTTGCCCCTTTCTCCACTGTCCCTTCCCCACCCTACCTCTTTTCTGAATCCTGTCACCATAGGTGGTTTTATCTGCTTGTGGGCTTGACAGGAATGGGAAGCATGTGGGATGTCCTTTGTGAGAAGCTTCTTGTGCACATCGCAGTGTTGTAGGTGTGCACATGTGCTGTCTTGATGACCAGTGGTGGCTTCTCCCCTCATCTGAATAGACTCCGCGCTATTATGTGATGATGGATTAATTCTATCCTCACTTGACACACCTGTGTCAGATGTGGCTGGCAGCAAGATGAAGTCAGCTGTGTAACAGGTCATCATATGGGCTTGGTGGTTAGTGATCACAGGAGTGTTGATACTAGCACATTAGTATTACATGGAAGCCACAATGTGAATTGAAAATTGTTGATGAACTTTCCAAAGTTTGTAAATTTTAGTGTCAAATAACACTTGAAATGTCAAATAACATTTATTCATCATTTATTGTAGGTGCTACAGAATATTTTAGAAACAGAAAATGAATATTCTAAAGAACTTCAGACTGTGCTTTCAACCTATCTACGGCCTTTGCAGACCAGTGAGAAGTAAGTTAGATGATAAATTGCACTGATTGTGAAATAGTCTTCAACCAGGCTGTGCTTTTGTGTTTCCAGATAATAGAGGGTGAAGCAGTGCAACAGAACTCAGTGTACCCATTTGCCTTAGACATAAGTAACCTGTTTATGAGGTCAAGACTCTTCTAGGGCATTGGGGTGGAATAGGAGAAGAACATGAATAAAACTATTTACATATTTTTACTGTTACTTTTTTTTGGCTCTAGGTTAAGTTCAGCAAATACGTCATATTTAATGGGAAACCTAGAGGAAATATGTTCTTTCCAGCAAATGCTTGTTCAGTCTTTAGAAGAATGCACCAAGTAAGTAAGATGCTAAACATTTGCAAAACTCAGATTGGTATAATTGGTATTTAAAGGATCAACTTTAACATAATTTTAGAATTCACATTTCCAAATATGCAAACTGGGTTACTTAGTAAGAGTTGTATTTTAGACTATCTAGTTTTTATAGCAGAGGTCTTCAGAGAAATGGGGATGACTTCACAAGAGTGGTGATTTTTAAGGCGTCCTGTGGAGTAAGAGAAGGGATGAATAGAGTCTAGAAGAGGAAGAAGAGTGGCTGGTGGGGAGCGTGAAGGTGGTAGACGGCGTGGCTCCTATGTCTGCCGTGTGTTGCCGAGGCCGAGGACAACGCTGTCTCACGGCGCGATGTTGTTCCTGGCCCTGAGGAGTGGACGGGGTATAAAGCACTCATATGTGCACCATGCTGTACCGATGTGTGAGAGCCTTGCTTTGCCACTTTCCCAAGATTTGTGTTTGGAGGAGTGGAGGTGTGTTGTGCGTAATCGGCCATGAGTTTTTTCCTAAATAATGGCTTTCAAACAGAAATTCACGTTATTTTTTTCTTTTGCAGCATTTTTGGTTTTCAAAAAGTGGCATTACTTACATGACCATGAAGAGAGTTTTTTGGGAATCACTTTGCTTTCTTTTGAGTGATTGAAGGTAATTTGCTGACAGTTTGAGGTCTTTGCAGGAGACCATACTGTGCACAGAATGGAGGGGTGTGTTTGCTTCCGTTCTTCTCATCGGCTGCAGGTGATGTGGTCTAAACAAGTTAGTTCCGTACAGCAGACCCTGAACGGCACAGGGCTGAACTGTGCAAGTCCACTTATGCGTGGAGTTTTTCAGTAGATAACTGTAAATGTATTTTCTCTTTGTTATGGTTTTCTCAATATTTTCTTTTTTCTAGCTTCCTTTATTGTAAGAATATGGTATATGGTACATATTACATATAAAATATGTGTTAACCGACTGTTTGTTATTGGTAAGGCTTCCAGTCAACAGGAGGCTATTAGTAGTTAAGTATTTTGGGAGTCAGAAGTCATACATAGATTTTCAACTTCGTGGGGGTCAGGTCCCTAATCCCTGTGATGCTAGAGGGTAAGCTGTATATTTAAAACTACATTTTGCTTTGCAGTACCTCTGTTGGGCCTTTTCTCAGCCCTGTGAATTACTGTCCTCATGTTACTGATTAAAAGCTGAAATAAAGGGAGGTAAAGTAATAGTCTTCAAGTCAGATACCTAATAAAGCTTCAGTCCTTATGTTGTCTCTGAATTTGGTATGACTTAGGTATTATTTCAGTCACATTCCTCAGATTTATGGTGCATGATTGCCATGGTGAAATGGAATGCATGAGAGTAGATTTCCTTGTCAACTATTTCCTTCCTCCTTTTTCTCATGAATATTCTGAAAGTTTTTATCTTTCCCATTTTTTTTTTCCTTTTTGTCTTTTTTACTGACCAGTAACGGGATCGCAACCCTCGGTGTCGCGCCCGCACCAGGGACCGGCAACGGGATCGCAACCCTCGGTGTTGTGCCCGCACCGCGCTCAGCCAGTGAGCGGGAACCGGTCTCCACATGGGATCCGAACCCTCGGCGGGAGCGCCGCCATGCTCTCAAGCGGCGCACTCTCCAGTGCACCACCAGGCCGGCCCGTTATCTTTCCCATTTTTAAGACTGCTGATTTCATCTTTTTTGTCCTATATGCTGTATTTCTGTACCACTTTGCAGTTTACCGAATGCCACTTATGTGTAGCAGTTTTGTATTTATTATTTCTTTTGTTTGTTTCATTTCCACTGCAGATTCAGTTCCTAGATTTCCAGCAATACCTTTCAGAGTTGTCTTTTGTTTAGACTCAGGAGCTGGCAAACTATGGTCTGTGGGTCACACCCAGTCAGCTGCCTATTTTTGTAAATAAAGTTTTATTGGAACACAACCATACTTATTCATATTGTTGATGGTTGTGTTTATACTACAACAGCAGCGTTGTAGTTGTGACAGAAACTGTTTGGCTCACGTACCTAGGCTGAGTACTACTTGGTTTCTTACAGAAAGTTTGCTGACCCCTAGGTGAGACATACGTACCCAGTGCTTTCTCTCCTGGGACCCTGTCTCAGCCAGGACCTCTCCACTCCCTGTGCCTTGGGAACTGTCCTCCCTCTGGTGTGTGGCACATGTTTATGTTTTCTCAGTATTTACCATGTGTGGTGCCTTCCTTCCTTCCTAAAAATGGTGAAGTTTCTATCTGGTGTATTTTCCTTCAGACTTTTTTTTGCGGGGGGGTGGGGTGGGGTGTAATTCAGGTCTGTTAGTGACAAATTCTCTTGGATTTTGTTTATCTGAAAATGTCTTTGTCTTTCCTTCACTCCTGAAGAATTTTTTTGCTGCAAACTGAGTTCTGGGTTGACAGGTCTTTTCTTTCAGCACGTGAAGGCTATTTGTTGGCTGTCATTAGGACTTCACTGCATCTGGTGATTCTGTCTGTTGATTGCCTTCGTATATTCCAATCAGCAGATTTCAAATAGTTGTTCCCCTGGCTGCTTTGTAGATGTTGCCTTTAATTTTGGTTTTCAGCATTTTGACATTATTTACCTGGGTGGGGTTTTCTGTTCTTGAACCTGTAAATTTATGTCTTTTACCAAATATGGGAAATTTTTGGTCATTATTTCTTTAAATATTGTTCTGTTTTACACTCTTCCTGCTCTCCTTCTAGTACTGCAGTTACGTGTATGTAGACCTTTTGGTATCGTCCCCCACCCTGAGGCATTGTCATTTTCCCCAGCAGATTGAGAGGTTCCTGTGGCTCTGTCTTCAGGTCTTCTGCCTGCCTCTTCCCCTGTCTTCCCCATGCAGTGACTTTTTAGTTTGAGATTTATTTTTATTTTGTATTTTTTCAGTTCTAGAATTTATTTTTCATGCTATTTCTCTGCTGATATTTTGTATTTGCTCATTTACTGCAAGCATGTTTTTCTTTACATCCCTGAGCATGGCTATAAGAGCTGCTTAAAATCCTGTCTTCCGATTTCAGCAGTGGTCCTTCTTGAGTCAGTTTCCATTGGTTGTCTTTTGTTGTGAGGATGTCACACGTTTTCTTGTTTCTTTTTATTTTTAGTAATTTTCAGTTGCGTGTTGTGCATTATGAATTGTGGATGCTCTCAATTATGTTAAGTTTCTTTTTTTTTTTTTAACTTTGTTTTAACTTGGTTTTGTTAAAGTTTGTCTGTTTAACAGGCGGTTAACTTGGTCAGACTCAGATTGCAAGCTCTGTCCCTTGGGCAGATGCTCGGATCTTAGTTCACTTATTTTAAACTTGCCTGATCTGCTTGAAGTTGGCCCTGTGCAAGTGCTACCCAGCAGTCAGCCAGAGATTTGGGTAGAAATAGAGACAAAATTCAGCCTTGCTCCCTAACTCTCTTATTTCCTGGGTTCTGGTTGAACCCAATCCTGTGGTTTTGTTGGAGTTTTAGGTGTTCGCCTGACACAGACTTGGCTGCATCAGCCAAAAAGCTGGGAGGACAGGAGACTTGCCCTGTGCTTATTTCTTTTTCCAGAATATTCCTGCTTTTTAGTGCTTCCAGGTCTACGTTTTTTATATTTTGTTCAAAGTTTCTGTGGTATCTGCAGGAGCATCAGCTTGGTTAGGAGTAAGTTGGCTATAGCCAGAAGTGGAGCCTCTCATATTTGAAGAACCCATCTCCTTTTCCTGTTTTTCAAATCACAGTTCTTGCTTCTCTTAGCTGTGTAGGGGCTCCCTGAAAGCATGTTTTCTGTAATTGTGTCCATGATCACAATTCAAAACAAAAGACACTATTGTCTCTCTTACATGTGTTTGTGCACTTTGCTGCATTGATGTGCACCTATTTGGGATACTCGTATCATGACATGGCTGGTTTTTCTTACGTTGATTTGTAATTCCACCCGAAGCCAGAACCGGTAGTTGAGAGCACCTTTGTCATGCATCTGTTCGTGCAGTGTTTGTTCACACAATGCTGCTATGTGCCAGAAGCCTTCTAGGTGCCTATGAGACAGATGTTAAGAGACAGAAATGATCTCTGTCCTAATGGAGCTTATAGTCTAGGGAGGGAGACAGATAATTGAAAATTGTATAAATAATCACAGAACTACAGTTGTGGAAATGCTGTGGAGGAAATCATACAGACTGCCAAAAACAAATTTCGGGGGAAGATAACGGAACACAGGAGTTAATCAGACAGATAACAGGGAGGAGAGAGGTTTCTTTCTCACACCAGCCTCTTCTGCAATCCTCCAGCACCAGCCAATGTACTGCTAGCAAGTCAGTACAATACTTTTCTGATGCTGGCTATCCAGAGTTTAGGTTTAGGGCTCCCACAAGACTGACCCCACTTCTGATCCTAGCTGCACATGGGGTGTCCAAGCTATCCAGACTCCGGCCTCCTACAGACTGGATGTTCCCCTTTATGTTTGACGTTTGCTAGAATGACTCGCAGAACTCAGGAGAGCACTCTACTTCCCAGTACCAGTTTATTATTAAGGGTACAACTCAGAACAGCCATATGGCAGACATGCATAGGGTAAGGTCTGGGGAGGGGTGCGGAGCTTCCCTGCCTCTCCTGCGTGCCACCCTTCCAGCACCTCCACACACTCACCAACCCGGAGCCCTCCATGCCCCATTGTTAGAGTTGGGGAGGTTCCGTTACATAGTCATGCTGGATTACATCACTGGCTACTGGTGGCTATCTCCATCTCCAGCCCCTGCCCCTCCCTGTAGGTTGGGGGATGGGGCTGAAAGTTCCAGCCTTCTGACCTTTTTGGCCTCCAGCCCCCATCCTGAATGCTGTCCAGGGACCCAGCAAGAGTCACCTCCTTAGCTTCAACTCAGGTATGGTTGAAAGGGGTTCACTGTGGGTAACAAAAGGCACCCCTGTCTCTCTGGAGATCCCAAGGGTTCTAGGTGCTCTCTGCCAGGAACTAGATAGACCAAATGGATTGTAGGTCACATTGGAGGAGGAGAGCACCCCAGGGGGGCCTTGGCATGGC